GGGTCGGTCCAGAAGTGATCCGCAGTCTTTATCTTGGTGTACTCAAGGGCACAGGGCCCCACTGTGGAGCACATAGGGGCTGGGAATCCAGCCCCAGAAAGCCCATCCTCCCGTCCTCCACCAGATGGGCCACACATTTCACTGCCCCGTCCCTCCAGCCAGCTAGGACGCCCCAGGTCCTGCAAAGGACAAGGCCTGGGGGCAAGAGACAGCAAACAGCCAAGCTTGGAAAGGCCAGGCTGGATGGGGGTGAGAAAGGCCCTGAGGAAGTGCCCCTGAGACTCAAGAGCAGAGGTCCAGATGACGCTCCAAGCACCGGACCACTTACCCAACAAAGACGCCAGGATTGGGCCATCCACAGGGTCCATCAAGAGAGCTTCCTTCTCATAGTATTTACTAGCAAGAGAGGAAAGGACATGCAGGTTTGGACAGGGACCAGCAGAGGGCGCTCGATCGACAGACTGGGTGCAATCTCCGCCTGTCATCCAGTTACCGCCAGCTGCCCCATCTGTGAAATGGGAATAATAATGATGCATCTCCTAGGGCATTTAGCATGGTGCTCAGCATGCACCCGCTTAATACATGGTCATGATGGAGCCTTTATGAGAGTAACGGGAATAATAATTAGAAGGCTGCTGAGGTCTGGCTGATGCTCTCTGCTTCCACCACATCTTCCATTTGAGACGCGAATTCCCTTAGAGGCTCAGATGATGTCTGCCCTTCTGTGCTTGAGGCAACAATATTCTGTTTAGCTGCAGTGTGTACTGAAAGGCTATGTGAACAGGCTTTCCTGCTCTGATGACTCATGTCGATAACGCTGGCCTGAGATGCCCAGAAATGCTCCCTGGAATCTGCCTCTGCAAAATAATACGTGATGCCCTCAGTACAACATCCCTGCTGACTGTCTTTTGATTTGTTTGTTTGAGTTATCGTGTTGTAGTTGCTAATTCCTCGAAAACTCATACAGTCTAGAAACGAACAGAATTTCCAGAATTTCAGGGTTGAAAAAGACCTCATTCTAACCTCCTAAGGGATCTTAGGCCCAGAGAGGGTAAGCGACTTGTTGGATGCTGCACAGCAGGAAGACACAGGTTGGGCTACATCCAGCTGGCTTGGCTCTTGCTATCATACAACAGGAAGTAAAGGACACAGGATCTGGGTAGGAGGTCAGATCTGCCACTCTCTGCATTGCTGTGTGTCCCTGGGCAAGTGACACCCCTCTCTGAGCTCAGTACCCTCAGCTGTAAAATGCAAAGAATGACAGAACTCAGCTGGGTTACTGGAAGGATTAAATGACGGCTTGCCTGGATAGCAACAGCACAGAGCCTGGCACCAGGAAATTCTCACTAAATAGTAGCAACATCATTGTAATCTTACCCCAAAGAAATCTTCTATCACCTAGAATACTGGATGATCCAGAACTGACATGCTCTGGACTCGCTCAGTATCAGGGTTATACATTTTGGTGTCAAATCTGAAGACATCAAGACACTGTCCACTTCAGCACCACCCAGTTTCCATCCAAAAATCAGCACGGTTATGTGATCATAAACCTTGAAAATGCTGCCTCAAAAAACAGCAGGTAGAGTTAGAACCAAGGTGTGACTGTGACTTTTCTTTCAGTCTCTCTCCTGCCTCTAGGCCTTTGCATCTGCTGTTCCCTCCACCAGAAGCACTCTTTTCCATGCCCCCTTCCCCTGGCTAATGCCCGCAAGCCCTTCAAATGGAAGTTTAACTGCTGCACCTTCCAGGGTGCTCTCCCTGAACACCCAGAGGAAACTAAACACCAGCACGCCCGCCACAGAACACTCCTCTCATCTCATCACCATCATGATTTGCCGGTTTCCCTGCTGGAACGTGACCTTTTCGAGAAGGGGGCCTTTGCTCTGTACTTTCACACATATTTTTCTCACAAAGGGCCAAAGAGTGAAAAGATAATAATGATAATAATACCCAGTGTGTGTGCAGATGTGGTTGAACCAGCACTTTTATGTACTACAAGGTGGGGAAATTCTCAGATCTCTCTCTCCCCCTCTGCCACTCCCTTGGGGGCTGGAGAGGCATGCTGGCTGTGAGGAGTCTCAGCTCGCAGATTTCTTCAGTGGCCCCCCGCTGCTCTAGAGATAACATACAAGCTTTGCAATACATCAGGCATCACCACTGTATCCCTGATAACTAGGTTGGCGCCTGGTACACAGCAGGTGCTCATTAAATATTTATTGGCTGAATGCATGCATGCTTGCCCGAGGGGATTTATACTCTAAACCTTCCCATCCGATTAGTCTGAGCTAGGGGAGGAAATGTAAAAAGGGTCACTGTGCATTTTCAAAACGCTGAGTACTCACCCAATTCCCTTCTCATTTCTTGTCTGGGGTGGCTACAATGCCCATCCCATAAACCAAAGAGACCACAGAAACACGAAGAGGGCTAAGTGATCTTCCTCAGGCCATACAGTTATCCACTGGAGTGATCAATGGGAGAAGGAAGAAACCCAAGATCCTTACACCCCAAAGACCCCTGTGGTCCCCAACCCCAGGGTGGCGGACCGGTACCAGTTGTGGTTTGTGGCCTGTTAGGAACTGGGCTGTACAGCAGGAGGTGAGCAGCAGGTGAGCGGCAGACAGGTGAGCGAAGCTTCATCTGTATTTGCAGCGGGTCCCCATCGCTGGCATCACCACATAAGCTCCGCCCCCTGTCAGATCAGCGCGAGCATCAGATTCTCACAGGAGCAGGAGCCCTGCTGGAAGCCGCGCATGCCAGGGACCTAGGCTGTGCTCCTTATGAGAATCGATGCCTGATGCTCTGAGGTGGAGCTGAGGCGGAGATGCCAGCGCTGGGGAGCAGCTGCAAATACAGATGATTATTAGGAGAGATATTTGACTGCACGGTAAATCATCCCGAAACCATCCCCCATGGAAAAACTGTCTTCCATGATACTGGCCCCTGGTGCCAAAAAGGTTGGGGGCCGCCGAAAGACCCTGCTAGTAAACACCTGAATCTTTCCAAGGTTCTAAGCTAGCCTAGTTCATTGCCAGACATCCAGGAGACATTTATTTAGCCACTTTCAAACTTAAGTGTAGGTCAAGGGAGAAAAGAAAGCAGTTTTGGGCAAGGGGATGCAATTCCCGCGCCGGCCAGCAGGTGGAGGCAGAGCACGCCCAGGTCTGGTCTCTCTCACCTGCTGTTTTCCACAAGGTAATGCACAATTTTGTCCAGGACCTTCTCAAACAAGGCGGTGCGGATCCACAGGTGCTTGATGGCGAGCGGGGACAGGTTGGGCAGCTTCGGCAGCTTCCGCACATTCTCCTGGAGGCCCTGGATCTGGTTTCGCCTTCAGGACCAATAAAGGAGAATAGATACTCATAAAAGAAGAAATCCACGGGAACAATACATTGATACAAACGGGACAATGTTCAGTCTCTGTAGGGAACGAAGGCATGGCAACTGAACAACAAGAGCCTCCTCCTAGCAAATGGGCCAAGACTTGGAAAAATAATAATACCCAGTGAGCGTGCAGATGTGGTTAAATAGACGCTTTCATACACGGTTAATGAGCAAGCCAGATTCTCATACTGATCTCTCCCCGCCGCCCCACTCTCTCTCCCTCCCTCTCCTGGAAAGGAGTGCTGGCCAAGAAGAGTTTTGGATTATAGATCCTTCAGTGGCTCCCACGCCCTTGGGAAGCAAGCTCTTCAACATGACTTGCAGGGAACCTCAAGACCTCGCCCCCATCACCTCTCCACCAGCCTCCTTACCACCACCCCCTCACTCCACGATCCAGACAGGCAGAGACTTCTGCAGACTCCAGAGGCTGCCAGGCTCTCATCTGAAGCCTTTCCACAAGCTTCTGCTTCCTCCTGGTTTCCCTCCCCAACCCATGCCCAGGCTCATCCCTTCCCACACTTTAAGTCTCAGCCAGGGCATCCCCTCCTACAGGAAGCCCTCTCAGAATTGCTCCTTCAGCCTCTGGAGCTTAACTTCCTGCTAGCTTTTCTGTCTTCCCCTCCGCATTGTGATCTTGAAGGTACGAACTAAGCGATTCAATTTATTTTTAAATAAAATACTTACTGAGAGTCTACCACGTGGCAAGCCTGGGCCCTCTCCATGTCTGTATGTCCAGGGCCTAGCACAGTGCCTGGCATATAGGCTCAGCAAATGTGTTCATGAATGAGTGATTGCATGAATGAATGAATGGTTCTCCCTTACCACGTGGCATGATCATCTCTAATTCTTCCATTCGGAAGTCACTCCCAATATTGTGGAAGACCCATGGAAATCCATCCCTTTAAGAAGTTATCTGCAAACACCTGGGAATTTAGCAGTTGGATTGGAAGGTGCCCAAAGACCTGGTGGCTGAGAAGTCATTCCAAATGGGAGCTGGCAGAGCCAAACCCCGAGCTCTGCGCACCCTCCAGTTCTGGCCAGCAGCCCCGGGAAGGCAGGGCCTGAAGGGCAAGGAGAGTGCTGTTTCTGATCTGGTCAAGTGGGGTGACTGCCCACAGCAGAGACGGCAAACGTGGCATGCTTGCCTTTGCCTTGCCCTTGCCTGTGACAGACATGACCAATCGATCCATGCACTTTTCCCCAAGATGCCCAATCACAGCTTCAGAATCTTTGACAGCACAGTCCTCTGGGCAGCCACTAGCACCACCTGGAGTTAAAACCTACTTGTCACCCCTGACCAGGCTCCAGGCTGGGGCTTCGGCTGTACAGTCGGGACTCCAGGGGGTGGCTCTGGTGGAAGGTGCTTGTGTACACACACTCAGTCTGTGAGCCTCCCCCGGACACATGCAACCCAGTCACTAAGACAAGTGAGTGATGCCACCTCTGCCTTTCAACGGTTGCTTCAATATGAGGCTTTTTTTTTTTTTTTTTTGAGACAGGGTCTCACTCTGTCACCCAGGCTGGAGTGCAGTGGCACAATCATAGCTCACTGCAGACTTGAACTCCCGGGCTCAAGTGATCCTCCCACCTCAACCTCCTAAGTAGCTGGGATTACAGTCGCCCACCACCATGCCCAGCTAATATTTTTATTTCTTATTTTTATAGAGACGGGGTCTCACTATACTGCCCAGGCTGGTCTTGAACTCCTGGCCATAAGAGATCCTCCTGCCTCAGCCTCCCAAGTGCTGGGGTTACGGGTGTGAGCCACCGCACCTGGCCCAGAGTTTTCTTTGCATGTCAAGTCAGTGTGTTCAAATACATTATGATAAACCTATCAGTATGAGTGTTAACCAGAGGCCCTAGCATCTGGGCCACATGGGCGGAGGCCATATTGATTCCTTCACACTTTGGTCGTCCTGCATTTAGAACAGGGATTGGCTCCTAGCAGGCACTTATTCACTCAGCAATTGTTTCTCAGGCATTTCCCAGGTGCTAGACACTGTCCCAGATGCTGGGGACATAACGGAGAAACACAGATGTAGTTCCCTGTTCTAGTGGAGTTCAGAGTCAAGCAAGTAGGCAGACGGCAATCAAGCAGACAGTAAACAAATGAAAGAATTGCTGCTTACAGATGGCAGTGACCATTGGGAAGAAAGCAAACAGGGTGATAGGAAGGAGAAGATGGGGTGGTGGCTGGAATTTACTGAGCTGGGGGAAAGTCTGAATGATGATAAGGACCCAGCCATGGAAGATCAGGCAGGTGAGCCTGGTGGAGGGTACAGTACAGCATGTGCAAAGGCCCTGGGGTAGAAAAGAGTCTGGCAGGTGTGAGGAGCAGAAAGGAGAGGAAGGAGAGTGCTGGGAGAAGGAGGAGGACGGTGTGGGCTCCCCCTGAACCTGGGAGAAATGTGGACTATCTTCCGGGGAGCTGCCCAGCCTGTACCCCACACTCCACACTCACGCGCTCTCGATCAGCTGCTCCAGGTCCTGCACCTTGTGGCTCAGATCCTCAGCCGGTGGGAAGCTCTTGCCCACTTTCATGAACAGAGCCGCGATCTTATTGCTCCGCAGGAAGCCAGCCGCCCGCCGCCGAAGCCCGTGCAGGACGCAGGCCTCCACAGCCGCTGCGGGGACACAGTGGTCAGCGGGCCCTGCCCTGCCCACGCTCCCTGACACCCAGCACAGCCAGGAGCTGCAGTCAGACAGAGACCACTTGGAGAACCGGGGTGCCCAGAATCACAGAATTCGAGACAGCATCAGGGGAAAAACGTGAGTGACAGCCCCTTCCACATCCTCCAAAGCGGGCAGAACAGCTTAGAGGTCAGACCATCTCTGCCACTAGCCAGCTGTGTGGCTGTGGGCAGTCACTTCCCCCCTCTGTGCCTCAGCTTCCTTATCTGTAAAATGGGGATAGTGTGAACATTAGCCTCACAAGGTTGCTGGTAGGATGAGGTGGGAAAAAATGCACAAACAGTACTTAGCAAAGAGGCTGGGGCAGAGCGAGTGCTTTCAGAGTGTTGGCCACTATCCTCGCCGAAGAGGGCGGGGAGTCTGGACCACGCGCCTTTTGAGCTATGTCTGGATTAAAGAATCACATCATCATCATCATCATCATTTATATGGCGATCACAGTAACGGCTAACTTACAAATCTCATTTAATCTCTGCCACGGCAGGGGAAGAAAGGAGAACTATCCCCATTTTTCAGATGTGGACACTGAGGCTCAGAGAGGTGAAATGAATTGCCCAGGGCCACCCAGCAAATAAGCAATGAAGCCAGGATTCAAACCCAGGTCTGAGTCTAAGGTGTGCCATAACAACTGTGTTTCCACAAGGACCTCTGAAGGGAGCATTTAGTAGACACTGTCCCACTTCTGTCTTTCCCCTGGAGGCCCTGCCCAGTTCTCCTCAAAGCAGGAGGTCTAGGTTGTACCCTGGGCTCTACCACTAACTTGCTGTGTGACCTCAGGCAAATCACTTGCCCTCTCTGGGCCTCAGTGCTCCCTTCTGGGAAAATGGCCCTGTGCAGGCCATTCTGATGACTGCTATCTTCCTCCTGGTAATTGCAGCTGCCCTCTTTATCTTCTTACCTTCTGGCTTACACAGCAGACTGGGTGCTCACGCCGGTATACAACAGGTGCATAATCAATGTTTATTGAAAGAGTCTATAATAAGAGCTACTCCTTATTGGGCACCTGCTGGGTGTCAGATAACTGTTACAATTTACCTTCCCTAATTCTCGGGACAAAAACTATGAGGTAAGAGCTCTAGAGAGTAAACCAGCACTCTCAGGGGTCTGAGCAATACTGAGACATTTTGTTTCATCGCTTGTCTTTGTTTTTTTTTTTTTTTAGTTAGCAATTACTTGGTTTCGAATAAGTGTCCAAATATTGCCTAATCTGCCCATGGGTTTAAAATATTCCAGGTGAGGAGTTCTTAAATAGCTTAATTTTAACTTACAATCACAGTACTTTCCATTTGCATATACTGAAATAAGTTAATTGTCTATTCAGGCTGCATAGACATTGTTTAATTCTTTCTGATAATGGCTCATCATGAACAACAAATAAAAGAAACCTCAAGGAGATGCCTTAGGCCTCATTTGGGGCTATCAAATTTCTCCCACCTGAAAACTTTGTGCAGAGTTAGAGAATTATTATCATTTTTAAAATCATTTTCTTTCCTCTAAGTCTTTAAATGGTAGGTATGTTAGTAAGTCTTGACATGGACATGCATGTGATTTTATCTGCACATAAAAATGTCCAGGAGAGAATAAAAAATTGGGAATATATATATGCACACATGTGTGTGTATATACAAATATATATATACATACACGTGTAAATATATAAACATACCCCACTTAAAAAATAATATCTTGCCCAAGGTCACCCGACAAGGAAATGGCAGAGATGGGATATGACCCCAGGTCTGTCTGGCTGAAGAGGAGGTGAAGGGGGGAACTGGGATCAGTGGCCTCCCCGGTTGCAGAGTGTGCTCGGCATGTTGGAGGCCCCACGGGGTGGTGCCCCAGCCGTGTGGACGGCAGCTGACATACCGGCCACAGCTCCTGTCTCAGACCTCCCCACGGGGCCAAGATCGCAGGAGGGGAATTAGAGCACGTCCTCCATTAGCAGACACTCCAATTACTAAATCATAAAGTGTTCAGGGAGAAAGAAAGAAACACTCCCACTCACACGTACACCTGATTATGAGCTGAATTTTGACTTCAGGGACATGCAAAACACATGTCTCTGGCCACTGTCAAAGTGAGAACCTGGCAGCGTGGTTATTTCTGGGACCCTGTGAGCACGGTGGCCCAGGGAGACAAGCCTGAGTCACGCTCCGGGCCCCAGGGCTGCCTCCCGTGCTGGGCCAGGTGGATGTGATCCCACAGGATGGGTCGCCAGCTCTTAATTCCCTTCCTTGTTTAAAAAGTCCCCATCCACCCTCTCCCTTTGCCTGGCAGTAGCTCCAGGCAGGGCGAGGAAAGGACAGGGGCCCACTCCTCAGCGGCAAGACCACTTGTGGCTTGGGGCGTGGGTCAGCGTGACCCGAGCCCTCAGGGAAGGGACGTTAATCAACCCCTCTAGTGTTAACCGCGACAACCTCTTTAGGGGTGCAGAAGTCATTTTTAATCGCCTCCCTAGACTTTTCTGGATTTGGAAATTCTCCAGTGGAGTCTCCTTGGAATTCAAAAATAATTTCAGAACAAAACAGGATGTGAGAACCCTGGCTCGGAGACGCCACTTCCCCGAGGCAGCCCGCAGAGAAAGAAGCCACTTTTTCGGGCCACGGGAGGGCCACCGACTCACCACAGAAGGAGATGATGTGGCTGCTGTCTTCGTGGACAAACTTGCGTGTGACGGCTTCTTCCATGATCTGCTTCACCTGGAAGGCAGCGGCAGCCGGAGGGGGAGAGACCCAAGGTGACCCGGGGTACCGTCGCCCTGAAAGGGCCATGTCACTCCCCGAGAGCCTTTCCAGGATGTCTGGGATATCGTGGCAACTACTTCCCTTCCACACCCTCCTCACCTCACGTGCAATGGCGTCACCTTCCCGTTGTACTTAACCATTTGTTCAGGCTCTTTGCACGTGGGCAGCTGCTTCTCTGAGGTGTCACACAAAATGTCATCTCCTTCCCTGACCGCATTATCCAAGGCAGCCCCCTCCCAATCTCACGCCTATGACGCTTCATTAGAGTACTCGCCACTGTTCCCGTTCTATGTGTTGATTTGTTGACTGTCTGTCTCCCTCTCATAGAGTATAAGTTTCATGGCAGTGGAAACCCCGTCTGTCTTATTCAGTGCTATACCCAGAGCCTAGAACGGTGCCTGGCACATAATAGGTGCTCAATAAATATTCTCTAAAGGAGTGATGAAGGAATGAATCAGGTATAGAAAGGACTCAGCAGGGTGTAGGGTAGGAAATCAGCCCTGGAATCTGGTAGACCTGGGTTCAAATCCCTGCTTGGGCACCTACTAAGGGGGTTTGTGATCTTATTTTGGAAAATGGGCTCAGCGAGATGGAGCAACTTGTCCAGGGAGGCAGAGCTGGCCCTGGGCAGAGGCAGAATTCCAGCTCAGGGCGGACACCCCGGCTGCGTGCTTTTCTCATTGTACTGACTCGCTCTGCAAAAGTTTCCTGAGTGCCTCCAGCATGCCAGGCGTGGAAGACACGGTGGAAAGGCAGCCACGCCTCTGCTCATGGGGTTCACCCCTAGTGGCCCGAATGCCCTTCTGCTCCACCGCACTCTGGGCCCCAATCCACAAAGCCCTTCTTCTCTCTGGGCCTCAGTTGCTGCACCTCAAGGTTGAGGAGGTCAGAAGAGATGAACCCAGCTCTAAATCACCCCCAGGGGCTCCGACATGGGGGTGAGGGAGCAAAGTCCTGAATTGTCCGCACCCAGTGGGTCCCAATGCCTTTTCCCACTGTCCCGCGTCCCATCCCGACTCGGCCGGGCCTGCACATCCACGTGCCTGTGTGAGAGTGATCCTGGGCTCTCGCTGCTCCTCTCTCCCTTCTGGCTGCATCCTGGAGATGAAGACAGGACTGAGAGCATCCCTGGCCACTTCTCAGGAAAACCACATGGCAGCGCCCACCCCAGAGCTGGCACACTGCCCATGCCCCACGCAACCAAGTCAGCACCAGCCCTGTGAACAGCTCCCGACCTCTGAGCTCAGCAAGCTCCGAGCTGGGCTCTGCTGGCAGCATTTCTAAGGCTGAAAACTATCTAGTGAGGCCCATGGAATTGGCCCCATTATACAGATGTGGAAACTGAGGCTCAGGGAGGCCAAGTGGCCCACCCAAGGTCACACAGCTGTGAAGGAGCAGAGCTGGCATTCAAACTTTTTCCCACCATGGTCCAGCTACCGTTTCCTGGATCTCCTGGCTATTAGCTGTATCCTCAGGCAAATCACATCAGCTCTCTGAACCTCAGTTTTCTCATTAGTTACAGGGGTTATAGGAAGAGCACCAGCCTCAAGGGAATATGGGAAGACTGAACAAGGTAACGAACATCATGTGCTGAGCCCAGAGCTTGGCACACAGTGTGCCTGCGATGAATATTAGCTCCTTGCAGGTCAACACCTCTGCCTGAAACCTCACCTGTTATCAGGTGAAATCTCCTGCTATCATTACTCTAGACCTGGCTGAAATGTTACCTGTTCAGGACATTAACACACTGACTGTCACACTTGAAAAGCCACTTTTTTCCTTGGGGCCATGGTGTTTTATTATGAAAATAGAATAAAAATTTTGAAAACAAAACAATTCTTTCTAATTTAATGAAAAATTTGTTATTTTTTTATTGTTTTCTGTGCGTGAGTAATATGCAACTCGAAATAGTTCACGCAGCTCCCAAGGTGAAGAGATGTGTGAGTTACATATGCTTCACGAGGCCCCGGGCTCAAAACTAGCGTGAGTTAAATACAACTCACATGGCAGTTAATGTGTTAAATTCCTCTGCTTGGCAGCCATTTTTGTGAACACCCATCAGACATAGAGCAATCTGGTCTGCACCTGTCTACCCTGCCTGGCTCTGAACCCCATGAGGACAAGCACTCTGTGTCACCTCACCTGACAGCTATGGTGCCAACGTCTATCCCTAGTTCCGGCACACAGGAGGAGCTCAGTAAGGTTCTGGCTGAGGAATGGATGGCTTGAAGAATCATGATCGACGTCAGCCTTTGGTAGAAAACTTATCTGAGCAAATGTTTTCTTGTCCCCATAATTGTGGCTAATAGAGCAGTGACATTATATCCC